GATAGCTATATAAACAAATCAATATAAGTAGTCTATATTTAAAAGTAAGAGACAAGAGAAAGGAAGCCACAATACTAACAAAAGTTAACTCAATTAATAAGAATTTAAAGAATTTATAAATATTTTACAAATGTTCTTAGTATTTAGAGATATAATGTCAGATCATTATTTTAGTCAGGCAGAAGAAACACGTAAAGTTTTGTTTGAGGGGGAAAAAAAAGGAGCCAGATTAGGTGACAATGATGCCGATGTTATGTCCCACTTGCCATACAAGGCCTTTGGATTTTGTGAGAAACCATACTAAAATGTTTCGATATCAAAGTAATAAAAGACTGAAGGATATGTTTAAAGACCAAAGTCAAGCTCTATAGAATATCAACAGTTAATTTCTTAAATTTCGTCCGTTTTACAATTTTCTCAGCATGGTTGAGCGTTCACACTTTCACTAACGACAAGGACTAATCTGTCTTTGTTTTTTATTTTTTTGGCCAATAAAACAACTCTTTCAACTACACCAATTGATAATTTAAAATATCAATCCGGATTTTTTTTTTGGCTCCATAAAAAATAAAAGTTTAATTATCACTTATCATCATCAATTTTATTTTAAATATTAATTTAATTTTTATCAATGCTTCCATTAATCCACATGTTAATTCGTCAATTAAATATATGAAAATTAGAGTCAAACCCATGTTTTAAATTAGACAACTTTGATACATTTTTACATGAACGAGTAGTATTTGACTATTTGTTCAATAATAAAAAGGTTAAGTATTGAAAAATATACAAATTACAATTGAAATGAAGTTAAAATGACACCAATATCAATATATGTTTGGGTAGAATAGCTTTAACCACTGTTATTTTGTTGCCTTGTGTCAACCAGTGAAATGAAACCATTATGTTATATTTATGTTTATTTCCACAACCAACGCCCATTACCTTTTTTTTTTAATCATTTCTCTTTTTCTCCCCTTTGTCTAGCTGTAACTGGTGAGAGCCGGTGAGGACACATTATTGAAGACTTGCATATCTTCAGTTGAAAAGGGACAGAAATTAGTTTAATATGTCTTGTTTTGCTTCACTTTACATTCTCCTAAAATCTTGAATCTTGGATCATTCCCTCCAATCATATACATGTGTGTGTGTTTTTTTTATTCTATTTATAATTTATAAAGTGGAGAGAATTTTTTTTCTTGTCTTATTTATAAATTACGTTCTTAAATTTTTTATGATAAGCTTTCCTTTTCACTTTCTATTAAATATTCGTGTGTGTTATTAAAGTATGCTTGTTTAATAGGGGGAATTTAAACAGAATTATTAAGTTCTAAGGCTTTCTTTGATTTTGATAAAATATATTGGAGGTGGTTTATAAATTGGAGTAAAGTAAGTCATCTTCTTAAAGGAATTGATAGTTACTTCCTTCATAGAGGAATTGATAGTTACTTCCTCCATTTCTATTTATAAAGTAGAGAAATAAGATTTGTTTTGTCCCCTTTATAAATTACATTATTAAATTTTCATCACAAATTTTTAATATGTTAAGGAGAGAAAATAAGTTGTTAAATTATGTATATTTAATATGAAAAAAAAGTTGAAAACTTATTTAACTTTTAGACAGAGTTAATGAGATTTAATGTTTTTTTAATGGCAATAAAACAAATTGAAATTGATTTATAAAGCACATCATAAGAGTGCTTTTATAAGTCACTTTGTATAAAAAAAAGGATTATTAATTACTTTCTTCCAATTTTATCTTTTCATAATTTTCTATGATTAGTAGAGTAAAAATGTGACATGTGAGAGATAAAGTATTTTTAAAGATGATACATTTAATAATTTAACTGCCACTCCTTAATTCTAATCAAATAATTCAAAGTGACTCGTTGTATATGACTGGAAGGGTTTATTATTCTAAAACAAATGCATGGATCACTTGTATAATATGTGGATTGGGTCACACACATGATGAATAAATGTGAAAGGAAAACATGAGCCTATGATTCATATTTTATAAATATAAGCTAAGACTCGGACGGTTGACTTAACTAATGAATTCATGACTTGAATTTCAAATGCATTACAATATTCTTCACAATTAAATGTGAAGGGACAGATTCATTCACAAACGTAGCTGCAATGTTTAGTGTTTGACCTGAACAAAAGTTTCTTGCTTTCACACTCGTTCGTCCATTCATTGGACGGCTAGCTACTCAGGACTTTGTCTCTACGTAAAGTCACTGCATTTGGTTTGTTGACTTCTTCGTAATCTCATATCTCTATCTGCTTTATTTTTTATCAGCTAATTAATTTATAAGGGAATTCCCTAACTATTCTATATTAACAATACCTTGTATTTTTATATGGCTATGGATTCAACGTAGTTTTGTGAATTTTCATTTCATTTCTATAAGAAATACACTTTATTTTGATTTAATTTATTCTTTGTTGTGGCATTGCAAAGAATCATTCATTGTATTAAATCAAACATCGCATCACCAAGAACTTGGTTCCTCCATTAAGAATTAAACCAAATTAATTAGAGGTCTCAAGCTTAAATTCTAAAAATATAGCAGTGTCAAATACTTGGTAGTAGAACTTTGCTGATTTATCTGGCTTGATACAGATTAATTTGCACGCCTGATAAATCCTCCAGTTAAAATGATATATATTGAGTACTCTCTCTCTCTCTCTCTCTCTCTCTCTCTCTCTCTCTCTCTATATATATATATATATATAAATGGAAACAAAAGGTGATCTTCCCCATAGATTTTTGGCCCCCCAAACAGGGATATTTAATCTACCCCTTTTGATAATATTTGTAAGGTATTTTTAATCCATTTACAAAATAAAAATTTTTTAAAATTCAACTCTCAACTTTTTAACTTAGAAAAATACAAATAAGTTTCCTTGAATATGGAAAATAATCAATAAGTACCACAAAAAATAGTAATTATTTTGAAGTTTCTATGGACTTATTTAGCATTTTTTTAGCAAAATTAAATTTTTAATCCTAAAAGAAAAATAGGGAAAAGCACAGGTATTAATACCTAAACTAAAGTTGTCAAATAGTTGTTAGTTTAGATAGGCAATGAGAAATACGTTTCTTATATTAATAACTTCAGTTTATGTATTAAAAATATAGTTAGTCATGATTTTAATTTAGTCATGCAATAATTATTATGCTTACTGTATGAACGACTTTACCTTTGTTATTAGCAATTTTAGTTTAAGTATTAACAACTATACTTTCTACTATTTTGCATCGGGTTAGAATTATAATTTTGCAAAAACGATATATGATAGATAAGTTTCTATGAACTTCAAAGTAGTTACCTTATTTTGTGCTACTAGTTTGTCATTTGTTCATTTTGAGGGCATTTAGTTGTGATTTTCCCTTTTAACTTTAGCATTTATAAAAACTAATATATTTCACAACTTTTTTATTGATAATCTAAAACAACTAAACTACTTATAATAAAAAAGATGTGTGCGTGTTCCTTTAGTGTTTCCAGTCTCCATAGTTTTAACAACATTGAGTGACATTTGTTATTTAGGTCTTTATAATTTCAGTAAATATTGAAAAAAATATAAGGACTTGACACAAAATTTGATAAAATAATAAAGACCAATAATTATATTTTTCCTTTTCTTTATCACTCTTCCCAATATATTATGTCTTTTATATATATTCTCTCTGTTTAATATTATAAGAATTTTTTTAAAGCACATGTTAAAAAAACATAAAACACTTTGAGCTTTTTAAAGTATAATTAATGAATTTTTTTTAAATACCCTTAATTATAAGTGTAATTAATAACAGTAAACATAAAAAGATATATAATTTTAAAAATCATTAAATGACTCATTAATCAATGTAATTCAATTATTGATATACGGAGATAACCCAAGAAAAAAAAACTTTTTCTATTTTGGTTCTTGGGGCATTGACCATCTTAAAAAAAATGGACTAATTGAAATAAATGTATTTGGGATTGTTGAACTTGGAACATCACATAAGGGATTTCCAATTATGAGCATCAATTTAGTTGGACCAATCCAACACTAGGCCTGTTAGCCCACGGATGGACTGTTTGTATTATTCAATTTCTACTCGTAAAAAAGATTTAGACTACAATTCAATATTTTATTTTTTTTAATTCAAATATCTTATTTTTTTTAACAAAATACTTGTTAACTTCATTTTGCATTTTACTCCTTTTGAAACCAAGAACTTCTGGTGTTCTAAATTGGGTCAAATAGCAAATTTACTCTTAAAGTATCCAAAAAAGCATATGTAATCTTAAATTTGTTTTTTGATGTAATGTCTCTTATCAACTATAAAAAAACGATACAATTTTATTCATACCGTTAGTAAATATTAACTTTAATGATTAATTAATTAAAAAATTATAAAAAATGGCTTCAAATATCACAAAAAAGGACCAAAAACTTGTTTGTAATTTTGAGTTCTTTTCTATTTTTTTAATAATTTTTTCTAATTTTTGAAGTTATTTTTTATAATTTTTTATCCGTTAATGATCAAATTTAACTTTTATTAAAAATGAAAGTGACATTGCACCATCTTTAAAAGTTAAAAAAGAATATTTGTATCAAAAATAAGTTTCAAGTTCAAGACTTTCCTAAAGCTATAATTTAATAGTAAAATTATCCTTTAATCCAAATTTAGTAAATACAAGCTGCCTACGTCTCAGTTGGTTTAAATGCCATCCATCAACAAATTAACATCCATAACAAAAACAAATCATACAACTTACAAGTTATGAATAATGAAATTTCTTTTACTTTAAGCAAATACATAGGTACTTATATTGACATGATTTTTCTCCTTTACAAGCTCATTTTTATGGATTCCTCAAACTTACTTTGGTCTCCATCATATTATACAATTTAAGTTGTGAAAGGTGCAATACATAAAATTGCTAGTCACTGGTATTCTTTTAAAAAAACCAAGGGTAAATAACAAGACAAGAGGATTGAATGGTAAATGAGTGACACATGAAATGTAAAGCAACTCCAACTTGAGCGTGCAATTTATGCACGTCCTAAAGCAGCTCAAATACCCTATTGATCTTTCTTATTGAAGGTAGCTCTCCCAAAAATATTTTTTGTATTCACACGGGCTCGAACTCGAGACCTTGTGCTTAAGTGGTCATAACCTCTTCCACCAAGTATTCCAACCTAGAGATTCATCTTAGTTACAATTTTGGCCAAGCCACAAAAATGTGGCCAATAAAATCTCTTCTAGCCATCCCTAAAATCTCTGCCAATGCAGGTCAAAATCTGACTAAAGAGCAAATAGGATGAGAAGTTAAAAAGGAACAAAGTTGAAAATTTTACATAGAAGCAATCAAGAATCTTTCCCCCGAGGAAGAAGGAGTACCTACATAAATAAAACACCACATGAACTTCAGTCCAGTTAGCTAGCAGCCAAAGATTGAGGAGAGCTTTTATCTGATTCCTTTTCACGGACTTCACATTTTGTAGCTTTCTCTCTTTGCCGCTCTGAGGATCGCCCAACACCTACACAGGAGGGGGAAAATACAATGGATCTATCAATATCCGTATTCATGGGTTATGATCACTGAATTATCAATAGTAGGAATTCCGAATATGAGCGCAAAAAAAAAAAAAAAAAATTTACAGGCCCTCTTTGATTTAAATTAGTTAGACAAATAAACCACGGGCAGGGCCTTTTATGATTGAAGAATGAAACATACTGTTCAAACTCTTTCTTCCAAATTTTTGTCTAGCCTTGGTTAGAATTGTGTTCAAAATTTAGTGAGTTCAAGCTGCTTTTGTGTCTAAAACTTCAGCTAAATTAAACCCCAACACAATCAATTATGATTTGAAATACAGATTGAGCGGTCTGAAACACAAGTTATCACTTGATTTCAGTAGAAAGTTACATATTTGGATGTAAAAGGAATCTATCGGTGATATATTTTGCAACACTGATGTCCAAATAAAGGTGATAAATCTTGCCATCGTTGCTCTGAAGCTTCATGATTTGGAAGTCCATTGACTCATATAGCAAAATAGCAAAGCTTCCCATCTATGTGAAAAATAGTCAAAGCAGACAACGCATCACTCCCCAAGTCATCTTCCTAGTGTGTGATGTATTTACATATTATTTGAAACCCATTCAGCCTCTGAGGGTTCCTGTTGAGATAGACTCATCTGAGTCTGAACGTGCTTTGAGAACCAGACCTCATCGGGAGGGTAAAAGAGGACAAAGCATAGTTAACAGCTTCTAGTTGAATTGATTAACCTGAGATGAGGTTTCAATAATTTGAAGTCCCATCCCTAATTGTAATTAATGGTCTTAAGATTATTAATTGTCATTTTTCCAATTAGCTATTGAAATATTCATTGGACAGATATGTTATAAATGATGTGGCATGCTAGGACTATCTAATAAAATTAATGAATAGTTTTTGTAATACTTCAGCAGTACGGTTCCTCTCTCCTTTAAGGTCTCCATCGGTCAGGTGATCCCAATGATCACTGAGGGGAAGAAAAGATAAGCTACCATGCTTGCTCGAGTCTCTCTCAATAGGTATAAAAATAGACTACATTCCGCATTAAAACAAAAACAAAAAACAAAAAAAAAAAAAAAAAAAAAAAAACACAGAACACTAGACTATACTCCATGGAAAAGGCTAACTAAATAGGGTGCAACTTATGATTGGGGTGAGCACCACAGAGTGCTGCCATCAAGGACATCAACTCTTGAAAGGCAGGGTTTTGACAAAGTCCCGTATTAGTAAGTCGAGTAATTCTCATGGTACTTAAACGAAATGACTCTTCTCCATTACAAGCTGATTTTTAAGGATGGTTGGTCACCATCATTATTCAATTTAAGTTGAAAGAGGGGGTCTACTTGCTACACATTGTTTGGCATGAAGGGGATATAGGTATATTCTTTAGAGAAAACAGAGGATAAATAGAAAGATCCGGAGGATTATTTGGTAGGTGAGTGGTATATGAACTTGAAAGCAACTAAAATGTATTATCTTTGACCTCAAGCATCTCAAATGATCTAATTATTCCAACTGGAAGATTCCCTTGGATTACAATTTTGGTCAAATCACAAATTATGGCCCATGAAGATCTCTTCTAACTGAGCTTATCATTCCCAAAATCTCAGCAATCGCAGATTAAAATCTAAGGATTAATAGGATGAGGAGTGAAAAGGACCAAAGTTTTGAAAAAATTATATAATATAACAAGACTGCATCAAGATAGAAGCAATCAAGAATTTTTTTCCCTGTATTAAAGGAGCACAAATACTCCACACAAGAGAGCTCCACTCTAGTTAGTCAGCATCCAAAGATAGAGGAGAGCTTTTACCTGATTCCTCTTCAAGAAGAGTTGATGTGCAAGAAATAAGGGAAGCTAGCTCATTTTCTGAAGCCATTCCAAAGCCTTGCCATCTTATTCTACCAAATTTATCAAGTAGAAAGATGTACCTATGAAAATAACATGTTAAAAGTAGTAATTGACTTGGAACAAATATATTGACTAACCATGGATTGGATAAGCAAGGAAAAACTTCTATACCCCGTAAGGAGATTTAGTATCTTCAGTTCTTTTCTGAAGTAATAATGATCACCAAATGAGTACACTGTCTTCTTCTCAAGCGTATCCTTGCTTTCATCACGATTAGATTTCCTTATATACCACAGAAGCAAACGCTTGATAGGATTTTGGCGTAAGAGCCATGAGTCTATAAATGACACCTGGACAACATGAATATTTCGTTGTAACTTTGGAAGGTATCATTCACAATATGGAAGCAGAAAAAACTTGAGTGAATTATCTCCATACATTCAATCTGTAAGATAAAGCCTAGATTAAAGTGATTGACTTGTTCCCTAGGTTAAATTGATTGACTTGCTTGCACCATAATTTAACATCCTGAGAGACAGATAACAAGGGACCAACCACAAACGAGAATTATTTTCATCAGAAGTAATATACTCACAAAAAAAAAAAAAAAAAACCAACAACCACAGACATGATATAACCTTCAAGTTAACAAGAAGAATAACTGGAGAGCAGGGGTTAGGGAAGTGATAAAGCCGCTCCTTTCAACAAGCCAAACCAAACATATTAGCTTGATATGCGACCACAAACATGGTAGCTTGTATGAAAATATCTAAAATAAATTTATGGGTACAAAGTCCACTTGCTTATTAACAATCCTTGCACTTGCAGAAGTACCTTGACAAACATATTGAGAAAAAATAAGAAAAATCTAAAGCACCACAAGTATCCCTTATTTACAGTAGTTCACAAACCAGTATCTGAGCAGTAAGCACTATAAGCCATTACCATAGTAGTTAAAGAGTAAGAGATTAGCTGATGCTACTCAATACTCAATATGCTCCAAACCTCAACATGAGACCATTATCTAACAGAGGGTGATTACAGCTACATGCTTTAAGAAATAGCCTCTAACAAGCAATGACAATAAAATGCAAGGAAATAAAAACATTTAGAAGCATACCTCGCATACATGGACATTTTCTGATTTACTAAATGCTTCAATAAATGGCAAGCTCCAAGAATTGATCATTGCCTATCAAGGATAAAGTATGGAATTTTATTGTAAAAACAGCATGCCAAAAAGCATATGAAGAAAAAAGTAACAAAAAATATATAGACCATCTATGTACATAGACCCTTTTACATGATCCCGTTTACAAAGATCGAAAAGCTACTTTTCTCTCAGTAGTTGAAATTCTACATGGAAATGATACTTTTCTCTCAGCATTAAGGTTGAATTTCAAACTTAGCCTCATATGCACATTAAAAAAAAAAAAAAAAAAAACAGCTCTCCATTTCATATTCACTCTCAAGTTTCTCTGAAGATACTTATACCCTCTTCATACTAGTTAATGGATAGCAATGACAATGTGCCTACTAAAACTTAAATTGAATAATAAAAATATATGAAATACTGTGAAAGATATTAACCATTTAACACACACACACTCTGTCAGCGTTGGATGAATTTTGAAGGGCACACGATGCAATTTTGCAAAGGACAAGAGCAACATCTTTACAAAACATTATCATCATCATTCACTACCTGAGAGTTTGCTCGAAATGAAAGACTAAGTAAAGATGCCTTTGGGACTGATGCTTGGCCAGCGTTAACAACATTTTCACATTGACGGATGGGAAGCTTTGCTATTGTTCCATCTTTGTCAATGACTTCCAGATCAGGAAACTTCACAGCTACCATTGCTGGAATGATCACTTTACTTGCCATAGCAATCTGAAAAAATATCACTGATAGATATCTCATACATCCAAAGATGTAACTACAGTTGAAAACAAGCAATACTGTTCTAAGGTTCATTCTACCTTGAGATACATTCTACCTTATCACATTCTGTACACAAAATTTAAGATGTTCAACGAAGAACTGTTAGTCATTAACAAGTAGAGTATAGTCTCGAAGAAAGCCAAAATAATCCAATTATATCACTGCAAATTTAATATGCCAATACCTTGCCACCATGTTTTTTCAGGTCAGCCATATCAGCAAAGTACCCCCTACTCATCTCATCTGCACTGCCCAAAATCCCATCAACAACATCATTGGCTACGCTTCAACAAAACGACCATGGTAAAGTTTCGTTCAATTCCCACAAAGAAAAACTGAACTTACATTCGAGCACGCTCCTTCTCGATGGCTGCCTTGCTTCCCAACTACAACCAAATTTAATTTTCACAAACTTGAGCTCAGCCAAAAAGAACATAGGTCTAATTAAGTGTGGAAAATTAGTGACAGGGAAATTCGTTCTTTAAAAATGGTCTCTTTCCCGAATTTTCTTAATTACCAGTCAAAGGTTAAATCAAAGCCCAAAACAGACAAAGGTACCTGATAGATATCGAGGAAACGATTAGAAGCCATCCGAGCCAAATGCTGCGAAGGAAGTAGGTGAAGGTTGTCCTGTTGCCTCGCTTGTGGGGAGACAACCATCGAAGCTCTGATCAAGAAAGATTGGGATATAAGTCGCCTCATCTTCAACCCCAATATCATGGTTCTATCTGGTTGTATTGGATGTTTGGGACTGGGGGTGGTCTCCGCTCACTCTCCTCTTCGATCCCACAGCATCGAAATGTCCAATTTGTGACTGAACCGCCGTGCCCGGGCGGGCATTACCGATGCAAAATAAATGAAAAAGGAAAAAAAAAAAAAAGGGGTGTAATTATTTTTCTGGTATACAGTATGCTTTTCCTGAACCTATTTATAAAATAATTTTTTTAATTTTATTCATAAATTATGTCATTAAATTTTTATTATAAATTTTTTATCCTTCATTAAATATTAAAAAATATATTATTAAAATATATATATATATTTTAATAGAATAAAGTTAAAAACTTATTAATTTTAAAATAGAATTAATGAGTTTTAAATTTTTCTTAATATTAGTGAAATAGGTTAAAAGTTATTTATAAATAAGATAAAAAAAGTATATGATATTTTTAAAAAGTTTGCTTAATAATTATTGAATGACTTTATATAATTATATTTTAATTTATTTTTAAAAAATGTAATGTATTGAAATTTTAATTATCATTATCAAAACACTTATATAAGATATTTAATGAGAGTAAAATTTAAATGATGTAAATTTTTTTAAAAAAAATAAAGTTTAGCTAACATTTTTTGTGAACCATAAACTAATATCAATGTTCTATATTTTGGTTCAAGGAAGTAGGTATTGAAAATATTAATAACAATTAAGGGCCTCAATTTTAAGATTAAACTTAAGGATTATGGTGCATTTTTAACATTTAAGGACTTACCAACCTATTCCTTTTTCATTCCGTAACCTAGCTCCATTACCACTTATTAGGCCATAAAACTTAAAGCATTCACTTACATATAGCTTTTGAGTTTATTTAGGCTAACTTAAATATCAAAATTATTAAATATTATTTTTTTATTTTTTTTAGTCAATTTTAATTTTTATCTTCAAAATTAAAATTTTTCAAGCAACATAACATTATAATGCATTTTTTTTATCCTTATTAAAGCGAGCCCAGTTATTGAAAGAGTCAAAATGAAAGTGTATAATGTAATCTCTTGTGTTTATTTTTTCTTAATGTTTTAAAAAAAATTCAAAACAAACAATTATTAGAATTTGACCTTTTAATATTGTGAAGTAAGAGGGAGTTTGTAGTGTTAAGTGAAAGTTGGAGTAACAACTAATTTCATTTTATTAACAAAAACAAAGAACTTAGGTTTTGACTTAACCCATTGGATTAAGTTTGCTTGGATATCTTTGACTTATTTGAGTCACTTGAATAAGTCCAAGTAAAGAAACTGTTTAAACTCACAAGCCTAACCCTTAATTTTTTTTTAGCTTACTCTAATTTGCCCATCAAACTTAGCCCCAATTGTTTACTTTACACCAAACCAAGTCCACTCATATCTAACATATTAATAGTTGGATCTTTGGTCACCCATAAATTTGAATGATTATCTAAAGCTCATAGAATTTAATTAAAAAATCTAAAACTTATGATAAAGGTAGGTGAGATGTGGATAAAGGCTCACATTCAGTTTTCTTATATAAAAAAAAAAATTGTGTTCGGGTTTAGCCATGAGATCTTTCAAATTTGATAGATCTCATCATAGTTTTAAGGAAATGTAATTCCAATATCGTATGAAAAGCATCTCAAAACTCTTTCTTACAATTATTTAGGGGAAAACTTGCTATCTCTATAATTCTACCAGAATTTGATTTGAATCAGGTCCTTTTTTTTTTTTTCCTTTTTTATGAGATTCTTATATTGCATTAAGCTAAAAATTTTAGTCCTTCTGTAAACAGAATTCTAGATGATGTTAAACACATGTTGATAGAAGATAGAAGATGTGTAAATGTGAAATTGATAAGGCAACACTAATGGACAAATTTTTTGGCCAAAGTCACTTTTCTCTTACTTACTATCAAAATACTGAAAGTTGAATCAATTATTAAATCAGTTAATATTAGAGGTTAAAGGTTAGAGATTCAATCAAGGTTAAATAAAAATATAAAACTAATTTATTTTTAATTCTACATAGATTAATTCAAATAAAAATATCTTAAAAAATAAATCTACATAATAATAAGATAATAAAATTAAAGTGACAAAAATTTGCAGATTAAAAAATAATGACTAGTATAAAATATTAAAGACACATGAAATATATAATTCATTTAAAAAAATAAATATATATTATTTTGGTAAAATATAAAATATTATACTTGAATAACTATTAATATTTGTATATAGAAAAATAAAGAGTTTTTTGAATATATAAATAATAAATGATGTTGTTACAGATTTCTAAAGGCTAAGCCTAGGAGGAAAAAAACAAAAAGCCTAGGAAGTAGGAGCAATAAGCAATGGATACATATATTGTGGTGGCACAAAAAGTGTGTTGGATAGTGTGAAGGAGATAATCATCTTACTTCTTTTCTATCCTTCGTTCATTATGCAGCTATTTCTTCCCTCCTCTCTTTCTTCATTATTTTTTTGGTTTCCTTCCTCCCTCCTTTCTACTGAGCAGAAGAAAAGGTAGTATTGCCGTTGAACCCGTGACTTGACAAGTGAGAGCAACGTGCCCTTACTAGCAAGCCTCGAGTCTAAAGGCTATTTCCTCCCTCCTTTCTATTTGTTATCATACTCTCACCCTTCATTTAAAATATGTGTCAAATGATGATAAGGGATCTAACTCCAACATTTTATTATAGAAGGCAAGATCACATTGTTAAGCTTCACCGGATAGTCGAGTGTCGAGTTTAATTTCAACAATAAAGTCTGGTCTTTCTTTCTTTTTTTCATTTCTGTCCTTCATCTTACCAGATCTTCATACATTTATTCTTCTTCTTCTTCCATTTGGATTCTTCTTCTTCATTGTTTTAGCCATTTTCTTAAGAAAAATATTAGCCCACCTAACCTGCCCAACCCCTAAAGTTGGGCAGATTGATTTGAGTTAATCCCGAGTCACCTGAGTTAACTTAGGTCAATAGTGTCCACCTTGAAACAAAAAACTGAATTGGACACATGGTTGTTCACAGGTTCGGTTCGGTTTTAAAAACAATACTTACTGTCAGGATTATCTCTATCCTTCTTACTTCTCTTTTATCCTTTTTTCCATCTTTCAATCCTTCCTTCATGCTTCTCTCTTCTCCCTGTACTTCTCTTTATGTCACAATAATTATGCTTCATTGCTTCTGCATTATCTTGAGTATAATAAGCTCAAGAACCTTTAGGGAAAGAATGGGAATATTATGAATAGTTAAATAATTAACTTTTATTTATTTCACAATAATCAGTGTTTGTTGCTAGTGAGTTTAGAGACCAAGATGATGATGGAGAGACAATTAGAGTGTTGAAAATGCAAAGAGATACTGAACGTAAAAAGAAAACCATCGCAATGGCCATGGCATGTTGAACACCAATTATCTCCTAACATTATCCTGAATCCACATGAACACAAAAGTAGATCCAGTTGAAGAAGGAGCCCTTTTCTCCTTCTTGACATCTTCAGTGTGGTCGAGCTAGTTAGTTCTAAAGATGAGAGAGAGATTCAAGGGCTTTTACATTGGGAAATAATGAGAGAAGGATTAATGACATATGCAATCTTATTAATGGAGGGACTGTTTCCTTTAATAGAGTGAATTATAAGGATCCAATAAAAAGGTTAAAAATTAAGAGAACCTGATTCAAAATCTGATAAAATTATAAAAACTAATAGATTAATTTTGTCATTACTCTATGTCTTCACATATTAAACTGACGAAGAAGTGCCATATACAACAAATAATTAAGTAACTAATAAACTCATACTACCTGTGCCTTAGTAAATTTAAAATAGCATGGAATATGGAATGGAATGATTACTAATGAAATTACAATAACGTGATATATATTTATTTAAATATCTTGTTTTATTAAAAATAAAAAAATGCAAAATAATCCTAAAAAAATACTGATCAGAAAATCCAATTAAATTCTAATTAACCTAAGAGATATTCTAAATATCTTTGTTCAAATAAGGATTAAAGGGAAAATTTGTCTTGAAAGTTTTTTGTTAGGTGCAATTAGTATCCTTAACTTTTGATGATGTAATATTATTCGGGAAGTTTCAAAAATGATGTGATTTCATCATAGAATAATGTTTGGCCTACATTGACTATTGGTTGAAAAATTATGATTAGGGTTAAAGAGTAATTTTATCCTAAAATTTTTTCTAAATCAACAATTGATGTCCTAAATTTTTAATTAACATATTGTTTTGGGTTATTAATGTCTAATTCATAAGAAAAATCTTACAACCTATTATCAATGTTTAAAAAATGTTCATATTTATGGATTTTGACAAGAGGTCATGCTGATGTTGCTTAGGCACAAAATCAACTTTACCCAACCACTTTAAAGGCTTTCTCTTGAGCAAAGTTCATACTTGCCCTTACTTTTCCCATAAGTAAGTCCAAACATGTCTTAATGAGCAAGTCCTAGCTTACACTCGCTTAACCATGAGTAAATACTAACTTGTTCAAACTTGTTTATGGGCAAAATAGACTAGCTTAGAGACTTGAAGGTGTTTAATATAGTTCAATCCAAAATTTTGTTTTGATTTTGGTTTATAACATATTGTTGATCATTTTGATATAGGCAACTGAACAATAACTCATGATAATCCAAAAATCACATAGTGTGTTATCTTATAGAAAACAATAGGAATTAAAATAGCCTCACAAGTTTGAATGAAATTCAAAACTATATTAATCAAAATTCATTAAAAATAGAAAAACTTGACTGAATTAAACCAAATGAACTCCAATAGCCTAAATATTCTCTCTAGTTTCTCGACTCTTCTCCTCTTGATGTCATCATGGATGCCACGTTAGAAGCCTTACTGGATGCCAAATTGGATGCCATATATGCTCACATCATTCTCCCCTTCTTAAAGAAGAGTGTCCTTGACTCTTACTGGTCTTCCAAATGTACTTAGATGCTATCAATCATGGTTTTCAAGAACAACTTAATTTCTCATTGTTTGGCTAGCTATGGAACTCAAGACTCAAAAATGATTTGAAAATAACATTGGAATAGAGAAAAAATAATGTTAGTATGTAATGATAGCATTTGGCA